TGGTGTGGAGCCCTGTAACAGAACTCCCTGCAGAGAGGCTAGGGCAAGACCCACCCAGCTGATCCAAGAGCAGAATATCTTGCCAGAGTGGCACAAGGGATTCACTTCCAAGGCCTGCAGCAGGAAGAAGTGGAGCAAAGCAGATTTCAAATAGCAATACAAAATTAATTTAAGAAAAAAGTAGAAAAAATAGCAATAAAGAGCCACATGTGGTGGTATAGTCTGTAATCACAGGACTCCCTGAGGCTGAGCCAGGGCAGTTGTCTACCTGAGCAACTTAGGTTTAAAAGCCAATCACAACTGGCATGGTGGTACACACCTGTAATTCCAGAACTCATGAGGCTCAGGCAGGAGGATTTCTGTGAGTTTGAGGCCAGCCTGGGCTACATAGTGAGCTCAAGACCAGCCTGAGCTGCATAGTAAAACCCTGTCTCAAAAGGACAAAATAAAATAAAATGCCAATACCAAGACAAGTCTTTAGGAAGTAAAGGTAAACTTTGTAACATCCCGACTTAGGTGGTTTTAATGCCTATTTTTCCTGGATTGTTCCTTAACATAATATATATGTAAATAATACAAACAGTTGCGGGCAAAACAAAACAACAAAAAAAAAATCTAGAAGTTACTATTATATAAATCCCTAAAAGACTATAGATTTTCCCCCAGAGAAATAGAATCTTATCAACTACAAGTATGGCTCACTGTAGCTAAACTGTATAAACAATATAGTATATGCTCACATCTGCTTTCCATCTGGGAACCTGGAATTTTGGTATGCACTAGACAGAAGTGGCTACATGACCAGCCCCAATAAAAATCTTAAGCACTGAGTCTCTAATGAGTTTCCTTGGTAGAAAACACTTTACACATGTTGTCACAATTCATTGCTGGAGAAATTAAGTGCATCCTGAGTTCTCCACAGGGAGAGTACTCTTAGAAGTCTGGGCTTAGTTTCTTCCAGATTTCATCCCATGCATTTTCCCTCTGCTAATACATCTTTGTATCCTTTTGCAAAAATAAATCTTAGCTAGTAGTACTACTATGTGCTGAAGCCCGCAGGTCCTTCATAGTTAATCACTGAACCTGGGAATAGTCTTAGGAACTCTCAACACAATATCATATTGAAACTTAAGTGTTTTATTAGGCCAAATGCTGAAATTCAAAATTGAATTCCAAAAATTACTGGTATGTGACCCTAAAAAACTACCTTATTTGCAAAAATCTGAGTTTCCTTATTCCTTTAAGTGAAGAAAAAAAAAAAAAAACGTATTATAGCCCGATTGCAATAAATTAAATGAAGGAATGCATAACACATATTATAATATACTCAGAAGATATTAAATGACATTTCTACAGGTATTCTCTTAGATGAAACAATCAGGAATCCTTTGTATATAATCTGATACAATGAAAACTCAAACAGCTTTTGCAGTACTGCAAGAGTGGTTCAGAGATAAACTAAGACCCTGTATCTTCACCCCGGCTCTCTCCGAGAATGGTTTCCAGAACACATGACAGCATCAGTGACAAGCTCAACTCAGTTAAACTACATTAAGTATCACCTTTGGCTTTCTGAACCCAGTCTTTATTTAGTCTTCAAACTGACCCCCTTTTGAGAAATAATATACTAATTAATTAGTACTGGGACTATATAGTTATGCTTCTCAAATTATTAAAGATTTTAATTTTTAGTACAAGGCCTCTTGTTACATGTGTATGAGCCAGAAATCCAACCAACAGAAATTTTGAAAAGAGAAATAAAACCCTGACAGCATTCCCTGCCAAATATCAACTTGTACCAAACTGGTTTTTCAAATGAATTCATGTTCTCAATACACATGACTAACATCACCTGCTGAAAAATTAGTTTACTAAAACCAATTTATTGCAGAGTAACTATACTTTAGTATCCTAACTGGGCCACTTTGTTCCACTGCAGGTTGCCAACGCCTTAGTAAAAGGACCATGTCTTATTTGGCTACTATCCCCATGCTGAGGATAATACCTGGCACACAATGTTTGATTTTTTAATATATGAATGAGGTTAATTAATAAAATACTACTAAAACCAACACCAAATTCAGTAGATATAACATTCCTTCTCTTATAAAAACTACCAGGATATTAACTTTCCAGGTGGGAAAACCAAAAACAGCATTTACCCATCCTACCCCCATTTATCACTGTGTTAAATACTCAATTTAATTTTAGTGACAATTCTCCACTGAGTCACCCATTCCTGACTGGTCCACACCAACCACACCCACTCTATTCCTCTTGCCACTGCAAGCCAAGTTCTTACCAATGGGACTCGAGAGGAAGTCTACTGGAAAGCGTTTGGGCAAGTTAGAGGTGGCAGCAGAGAATTATACTTTTCCACCTATACAAAGTGTTTCTACAGCATACTTAGAAGTACAACAGTCATCTTCAGGCCATAAAAGAAGCCATCATCAACACACTAAGGATAATGAAGTTGAAACTATAGAAAGCGCATGAGGCCTGGATGATATCAAACAGACCAACCCTAAACACTATGTACGAATTTGTTATGTTGAGGCCCTCAGTGATCCACTGGGTATTCTGCTACTATGTACAGTCAAGAACTTCCTAATACACCACTCTGTATGCATTTAGATAGGTATAGGCCTGTGAAGAAAAAAATGAAGATGTAAATAGAGGATCTGAATCAAGGAGTCTATTTTTATAGGAGAATTGCACAATAAATTTAATAGCTACAAACTAAAACATGGTACATGATATATCCACCTTAGACATGGCATTATAGTCATGCAACACCACTTAATGAGAAGGATATGTCCTAAGAAATGTATCATTAGGTGATTTCATTGTGTCACTATTACAGGGTACACTTACACAAACCTTGTAGCAGTCTACCACACACCTAGGTTATGGTATATACCAGTACAATGAAAACCACAACTATAGTACCATATCTACACTGCTGAAAAATCAAAGATACAAAAAAAAAAAAAAAGTATACAGAGGAAAAAATGGCCTACTATGTACTGAACAAAAATAGTAATACACACTAACTTTTCTATGTGGAACAGATATTTCCAAGTAGAAAAACATGAAAACAACTATTTCTCAGTTTTGCACTACAAAAAAATGCTAATGATGATTCAAGTTAAAGTGACTTTGGAGAAAACTCAGGTCTATATGAACGAATGAATGAATGTAACAAGGTAAATATAAAAGCCTTTTCCTCGGAATTTCTTAACATATACTTGACTAATTAAAACAAGTTACAACTTTGTATTAAGCAACCTACTGATACAAATATGTAATATTAGAGTAAAGAATAGAGATAAGGGAAATGGAACTACAGAGCTATAAGAGACATATTATATAAGAGAGTACAACCGACCACCCCATTCATGACATTTAAAACAAAAAAACCCCAAAATCCTTGCAAACTAGAAATAGAACTAAACTTTGTTAATCTGACAAAAGATTATCTATTCCAAATCTATAGTAAAGAAAAATAAAACTTACTGCTAAGATCTTGCAAGTACTGGGGGCCTGTCCCATAGCTCGCTAAGTGGCTACTTCAACAAAGCAGTCAGGCTCAGGTTGCTGTGGTTCGATCCCCACAACTCAAGCAGGCCAAACCTGCCCCAAAGGCATTTGGAGAAAAAAAAAAAAAAAAAAAGATCTTGCAAGTACTGTATTATCTTTAAAGTTAGGAAAAAGACAAAGATGCCCTGACCCTGCCAAAAATAACTAGAGGTCCTATCCAACGCAGTAAAACAAGAAAAAGAAGCAAATATTTAAGAATTTGAAACAAGAAGTCAACAACTGCCAGCCATGATGGCTGGTACCTGCCTATAATCCCAAGACTGGAGAGCCTGAGGGAGGAAGACTGCTTGAGTAAGGTTGCTGAATATAAGCTTAACATACAAAATTCAACTGACGCCTGCAAGCAGGTGCAGGGGCTGGGGGTTCCATCCCCGGGCCTTCTGTGCTGGCCCTGCAGCTGGGGCATGCTGCGATGGCAATTGAGACTGGGCATGGTGGCATCCCAGCTCTTGGGAGGCTGTAAATAAGCTGATCACTACAAGTCTAATCTAGTAGTGAGACCCTGAACACCCTGCAGATTCTTCCCTAAAAATACAAAAATAAATAAATGAAACAAAATTCAACTGAATTTTTGTTTTTGTACCAGTAACTGAAACACTTCCTAGAAAGATCTAAAAATAATTAGGTCTCAGTGGCTTAAGCACATGCCTGGCAAGTGCAAGGTCTGGAGTTTGGTCCCCAGTATCAAAAATAAAATAAAAATAATTAAGTGATGCCATGCGCATGTATGAAATATTTACTACCATAAAGAATTACATTCTCAGGGCCGGCAAGATAGCTCAGCAGACTAAGTTCCTGCTTAGGCAAGTGCAGGGCCCAGGGCTCAATCCCCAATGCCACAAGCCACGCCCTCAGACAAGCTGAGCTGGCCACTGAAACCAGGCATGGTGGTACACCCCTGTAATCCCAGTGCTGGGGAGGCTGAAAACAGGAGGATCACTAGGCATCCAGGCTGTGTAGTAAGACCTTATATCAAATACTGAAAAAAGTACATCTTCTTCATATTAACATGCAAACTTGAAATGATACAAACATTATAAACAACGAGAAAAATAGGCTATTCAATAAATGTTAATCCACATGTAAAAATAAAATTTCTATCTCACATCATACCAAAACTCCAGGTGGATCAAAATTTTAAGGATAGAAGTCTCTAAAACTTTAAATAAAAAATACAAAATAAAATAAAAGGGAAAAAATAAAACTTTAAATAAAATAGAGGTAAACAAAAATAAATAAATGACAGGCTCAGAGTCTGAGCCGTCCTACACAAGTTAGCCAGCCTTTCAGAGGACTAATTCCTGCTGGAGCACAACATAGCTTGATCACAACTATAGGGAAAATGTCTGAAATGGAACTAAAAAGCCTTTGAAGTGGCACTGATATAAAACAAGACACACCTCCAATCAGCAGGAGAAGCACCATGCCAACATCTAGTCCCTTCCAGGCTACTTCAATCAGTCCAAACAGCCAGTCCAGCAAAATGAACAGCATTGTCTATGAGAAGCAGTTCCAGTCAACCTGTGCCACCATGAGAATGGCACAGCCTTTTCTTACACAGTTTGCAGCCCAGAAGAGAGCTGTGGGAAGAGGACTCAGCCACAAGACATTTGGTCCTAGGTGTTGGCAAAACAGAGGGCAGAGGTTCTTTAATCCAAGCAACAGTTCCTCAATCCAAGCAACACTTCTCTGAACAGCAACAGAACAAATAGATAGGAGGCAAAGCCCAGAAAGTGGACAGTGATTCAAGTAAACCTCCTGAACACTGGCAGACCCTCCTGGTGTCTGTCAGGAAAAAGTGGAAGAGAAGCCGTCCCCTGCATCCACCACAGCCATCAAAACCTCTCAGGACTGGACCAATCAAACCTCAGGCAATCAAAACCAAAAAAAACAAAATCTTAAAGGACGTGGTTATTTGCAAAGCACTGGGGAAGAGGGAAGGGAAGAGGGGTGAATGAAGTCAGATAATGCCAGCAGCCACGGGGCTAAAATGATATGTGACATATCCTATGTAGGGCTTGAGGACACAGGAACAAAGTTGCACACAACAGCCCACCAGTCAAGGGAGGCTTTGCAAGCTTGTGTCTGCTATTTAACATTCGCTTGGTTGATGGCCATGTATCTTCAGTAAGAATTTTATAAACAAATACGTGCACATACTCCCTAAGTGCATATAATTTGACCTAAAAGTTTTTATGGTTAAATGAAAGCCCAGAAATAGGAAAGTAACACCACACAGGAATAGCTCAGCCTGAACTATGGCAGGTCCCAGCTAATACATCCGATATGGTTTCTTCGCTCCCGGGAGTTCTTTGGATATGGTTATAGTGTTTGTGGGCTTCCAAGTGAAGAACTGTAGATAACTGGTGCTGGACAGAGGAGCCTTATTTTTTTTCCTACAGCAGCATGCTATTTTTGTAACATGGTGACCAGGTTGAATAAAAATGAAGTACAGCAGTAACTGTTCTCCCTTCCTCCTGGATGAGCGAGCAGATGACTGAACACTGGTGTCAGCATCCTTGGACATACCCAGATGAGCGGTGTGTGCCTGCGACTTCTCTTTGAAATGGTGCAGTGTTTGGTTATGGTCCGAAGCTCCCAAGCACTACTACTTGGCATCTCCTTTCTTCAGTGGAGCTGCTACCTTTCAGATTTGATAAAATGCTAGTTAGGTTGAATACTGCTTGCCTTCACTCATTCATCTTCCTATGAGTCTTCTCTCCCCGCCCCCCATTTCTTGCTTTTGCCCCAGTTTTTAAAAAACGGCTTTTAGCTGGTGTTCATGAAAAGAGTAAATAAAGTGTGACATTAATGAAAACAAATGCTATCTAAAAAAGTGTGTTTCTTTGCAGAGCTGTGTCCAATTATCCTTTGGGCCCTCTGCTGGAAAAGTGGAATCAAGTCTGAAATAATGCTTTTTAAATTGTAACCTTTAGGATTACAGATGTAGGACAGTACTGTATCGTATTTCTGTGAATGTAAAATATCTCATACCTGTTTAATGATATGTAGTAGTGACCGTGCTTTATCAAAGCTGTTTTTCATAATGTTACTCTAGAATGTTTTCTTTCCAGATGATGATTAAGAAGCTAATAAAAAAATGGCGCCAGGTACCACAACAATAGCAGAACTTTGCTGTTTTCTGGGTCTTTCTCTTTCTTTCTTCTTTTCTTTAATGGAGTGTACTGGATGGCTATAATTTTGTTCAGATGACTGCAGAACCTGGAAAAGCTGTTGCTGCTATTGATGCAGAACATACTGCTGTTATTGGCCTTTTTATATAAATAAATATATATATATATATACACACACACACACCTATATATGTATAATTTGAATTTCTGGAAATTTTAACTGTGCTGTCAACTTTGGAAAAAGTCATCCCAGTTTACCATGTTGAGTTGGCATTGTACAGAAATTAACAGCCATATCGGTCTAGAAACGTCAAAACTTTTTTTTTTTTTCCATTTGCACAGGGGTAACGCTGTATGAAATATGTAAGATCTTATCTACGTGGGTTTGATTACAGAAACTAATAAAGTATTCTCTAAATAATGAAAAATAAATGCATACATAAATAAAATATAAGTATATCTCTTCATGTTACTAGGGAAGGGAAAATTTAATATAAAAACAGCACAAAATAAAGGCTACTACATAAAAATAATTTTTAATACAATCAAAGATATCATAGATGGTTAAATGACTGATCAAAGACTAGGAGAAAATATACACAAAACAAACTATGCAAAAAGATTAGCACTGTCATGTCGATAATCAGCCATGAGTGGGCCTGAGGGACAAAGGAGAATTCAAAAAAGCACAGATTTACAGGTCAAGTAAAAAAGTCTTCAATGTATAATACATTTATAATCACTTGTTAGGACTTAGACCCAAAGCACAGTGACATTTAATGTACACACTGTGCATGTTACCCCGATACCTGTCTACCTCCCTGTCTAACTCCATGACAAGGCATATAGCACGCCTGGCTGCCACAAGACTACAGGCCAGTATAGCAAAGAAAGCATTCTGTAAAGACTCTCCTGCCTTGAACTTGGGCCTGGTTTAAATTAAGAAACTATCTTTCTCGAGTTTTCTTTCACAAGTTCCTCACATGATTAACGCCTCTGAGAAAACACTGCACATTTAAAAGGGAACTGGACATTTTGCAATTCCAACGTAACTTCTAGGTAAAACTATCAATAAGCCTCATAGCTATCTTAGTTCTCTAACCCCCAGTATTAATTTTATATTTTTATTTTTTAAAGCTAATAGAAAATGGTAAAAATAAATAAATAAAAACTGCAGAATTTCACTAAACAAAATAATAGGAATTTGACAATGGTTGATGTATTACATAACATTATCTTCAAATTAGTTGTTCCCAACAGTAAATTTTTATGTGAATTTTGCAGTCAGGGCAGATGGCTTTACGGCACTGCCCACTTTCTTGCTTGACTGTATCAACTGTACAATAAATTTGATCTATACTCATGCACAGTCATCTGTGTCTTGACTGAATTCTTTCATCACAGGCACAAAAAACTGAGAACCATGGAAGGGAGGGAGGTTTCCCTGCTGCATCATGACTGAGAATCCCAGTGACAGTTTCCAGAATGTGTTTTAAAATACCTCCATATCAAACCAAACAGTAAGAACTCAACTGAAAACAGCCAACAGGTATGACTTAGTAAGGCACAGACAAGGAAGCAGAAGCAACCAAGCAACCTAAAAAAAAAAAAATATGCCCAACCTCAGTGGTATTCAGGAAAATAACATCAGACTGGTAAAAACACAGTACTATGTTGGTAGGAATGTTATTTCAAGTGTAATTTAGCAGTAAGAGTGATCTGCCAATACATAGTGAAGGTAAAGCATCGTCCCCTCACTGAGTAATCTCACTGCTAGGTTCATGCTCTGAAGAAATTCGCACACTAGCAGATAAGGACATGTGATATCAATATTGTTTCTAACGGTCTTCTCTTACTCCCCAAGATGACCTAAATATACAACAAAAGGAAAATGAATAAATTGTGTAACAGAAAATTATACGGCAGTTAAAATTATTAGGCTGAACTATATGCATCAGTAAGTAAACAATGTTCAATGAGAAAAAAAAGCAATTTATAAGATTACAGCCTATTCCTTTTTAAAACCTGTTAAAATGAGACATTACTTATGAGCAGAAACATATACTATAAAGACAGAATAAGGCTATATCAAATGCACACTAGTGCTTATTTCTAAGCAGAGAAGAGTCTAAAACATATTAACTTTTTTATACAAAAGACCTAAATTGTGGCAGATCGTTGCACGTTCACTCATCTACTTCCACTCCTTTCTTAGAATCAAACTGCTGCTCTATTGCTAAATGTGGCAACTGGTATCTCTGGGTGTCAGAATAGGTGGCAATGAGATAAAAAGCAGCAATCACTGTTAGAGACTAACTTCATTGCCTTCATCCCTCCCTTGAGCCCTGCATCCAGGAATGTGCACACAACGGATGGAGCTGCACTGACCTTCACACTCATGAGACAACCTTGAGAAGGAAGCCACAAGCGAAGAGAAGACAAGGGAGCTAGGTCTGTGGCCAGCACTAAGGTGCCTCATCTGGAAAGAAAAACACAAACTCTACCTTGTGACGAGCACCTTTCTGTCGGGGGAGGAGGAATGCAGGACAGCCACATCTAATATTACGTAACAGAATGAAAAGGGCAAAAGATTAAGACAGTGGGGAGGGCTGGATTCATGACTTGCTCTTTTAGCTGTGTGTTTCTATATAAGTTTTCAATCTTTATGTTTTCATTTGGATTTTAAACAGAAATTCTTTTTTTTTTCTTTTTGTTTTTTTTTTTGTTTTTTTTTTCTACAGTTTTATTGATAAACAGATAGCAATGAGACAGTTTCAAATCAAATCAGAAGTACAGTTTCAACAAATAATACACTGCATATATTCTTAGTGGTTAATTGCTGTACAAGATGCGGACTTGTGATCCTATTTACAAACACCATTAGA